ATCAAGGTGCAATCTGACAGCTCAGCATCATCTGTCTCGGATCCCCCTGCATCAGTCACCCCGGGTTGGAAAGAACTCGTCCCCGAGTTCAGAGTAGTGTCATCAGAATCCACAAAACAATGACTCAGATGCTTCACATTAAAGACATCAGAAGTCTTCAAGTGGCTGGGAAGTCGCAACCTGTAAGCATTATCATTGATCTTCTACACGACCTCACAAGGTTCAATCTTCCGATCCTTAAGCTTATTATACTCACCAACAAGAAAACGATCACGAGTTAATACAGCCCAAACAAAATCACCAACATCAAAAAGTACCTGACGACGATGATTGTCGACCCGAGTCTTGTACTTGGTATTGCTCTCATGAATGGTTTGTTTCACCTGCTCATGGATACCCCGATGATACTTTGCCATCTCATCTGCTTTAGGACTGAAACAACCTATACGTGGAATAGGGGCTAAGTCCAACACCCCGGATGGGTTCTGACCATAGACAATCTCAAATGGGCTTAAACCTGTGGTTCTGTTTTTTGATATGTTGTAGGCAAATTCTGCCTGAGGCAATGCCAAATCCCACTGCTTCGGCTTCGTTCCTGCCAAACACCTCAAGAGGTTTCCCAAACTTCGGTTCACCACCTCGGTCTGGCCATCCGTCTGGGGGTGGTAGGCGCTACTGAAATTCAACTGCGTTCCAAGTTTCCCCCACAGGCTCTTCCAGAAATGACTGATGAACTTAGTATCACGATCTGAAGTGATGGATCGAGGAACACCATGTAAACGCACAATCTCCTTGAAATAGAGATGGGCAATCCGGTCAGCATCCATAGTCTTTCTGCAAGCTACAAAATGAGCCATCTTGGAAAACCTGTCAACCACAACAAAGATAGAATCCGAGGCCCCTTGGGTGCGGGGTAAGCCTAGTACAAAATCCATGCTGACGTCGAACCAAGGAGCTTCAGGAACAGGTAAGGGAGTGTACAAGCTCGCATTGGTAAGAACTCCCTTAGATCGCTGGCACACATAACAACGGTCCACATAATGGGCCATATCACTAGTCAACTTGGGCCAATAAAAGTCAGAAGAGATAAGGGCCAAGGTCTTATCTCGGCCAAAGTGTCCCTCATTATGGAGTTCACTTATAATTTGCTGCCTCAATGAAAAATCTGGAATGCACAACTGTAATCCACGAAACAGATACCCATTATGCAAAACAAAATCATGACGGTGACCCTCAGTTACCTCCTGAAATATCATTCCAAAGGAAGGATCAGCTGCATACATATCTGTGAACGTCTCAAAGCCTGCAACTTTAGTACTCATGGTGGTGAGAAGTAAGGTACAACGGCTCAGGGCATCTGCGACGCGGTTCAAACTCCCTGGTTGGTGCCTCAACGTAAAAGTGAATTCTTGCAAGTATGCCACCCACTTGGCATGACGTCTACTCAGCTTGTATTGTCCATTGATGTACTTCAAGGCCTCATGATCGGTAAACAGAATAAACTCCTTCTGTACTAGGTAGTGACGCCAATGCTTCAGGGACTGAACTATGGCATAGAACTCCAGATCATAAGTGGAATAATTTTTCTTTGATCCCGATAGTTTTTCACTGAAAAAAGCAACCGGACGACCTGCCTGACTCAGAACACCACCAATGCCAATGCCAGATGCATCACAATTTACCTCGAACACTTTGTCAAAATCTGGAAGTGCCAAAACTGGAGCCTCGGTCATCTTCTGCTTGACCAGTTAAAAACTGGCCTCTGCCTCCTCAGACCACTGGAAATCACGCCCCTTGAGGCACTCTGTGATAGGGGCGATCAGAGTACTGAAATTTCTAATGAATCGGAGGTAAAAAGACGCCAAGCCATGGAAACTTCGGATGTCATGTAAGGTTTTTGGTCTGGGCCACTCCAAGACTGCATCTACCTTTAACTGATCTGCATGAACACCATCAGTAGACACAACAAAACCAAGAAAAAGTCACAGAAGTAGTGAAGAAAGAACACTTCTTTTGATTGACAAACAAGCACTCCGTTTTCAGTATCTCAAAAACAGCACGGAGGTGATCGAAGTGTGAAGTCCATGTCGGACTATAAACGAGGATATTATCGAAGTAAACTACAACAAATTTCCCCATAAAAGGCCGCAAGACCTGATGCATAAATCTCATGAACGTACTGGGTGCATTGGATAGCCCGAAAGGTATGACCATCCACTCATACAACCCTTGTGGCGTTTTAAACGCCGTCTTCCACTCATCTCCAGGTCTTATTCTGATTTGGTGGTAACCACTCTTAAGGTCAATTTTTGAGAAGACCTTAGAACCAGATAGTTGATCCAACATATCATCTAGACGGGGAATTGGAAACCGGTACTTAACTGTAATTTTGTTGATCGCTCGGTTGTCAACACACATACGCCAAGAACCATCTTTCTTTGGCACTAACAGAGCAGGGACTGCACATGGGCTCATACTCTCTCGGATATAGCCCCTCTCCAACAACTCTTCCACCTGTCGCTGCAACTCTTCAGCCTCTTTGGGACTGAGGCGATATGTTGGTCGATTTGGCAAACTTGACCCAGGAACAAGGTCAATTTGATGCTGAATATCCCTCATAGGTGGTAGCCCAGGAGCAAGATCCTCTGGCATCAAGTTAGAGAATTCTGCTAGCAGCCGCTGCACTTCTACTGGTAAATCTGCATCCACGTCTACTGCATTGTTCTCGCAAGGTAGTAAGGCATAGACCACGTCGCCATGCTCAATCTCATCTAAAAACCTGGACATAGAAAGCAGAGTAGTATTATGGGTTACTGGGGTAGGAGTGAGTCCTTCCCGCCGGGGTGCCAACACAATCTTTTTTCCCTTGATGCTAAGGGAATATGTATTCTTCCGTCCATCATTAATGACACTGCGATCATACTGCCAGGGTCGACCCAACAATATATGACACGCATTCATAGACACAACATCACACCAGGCATTATCAAAATATTTTCTACCAATTGAAAAAGACACGAGGCATCGCCTATCAACTATTACCTCACTGCCTTTATTTAGCCATGACAGCTTGTATGGCTTAGGATGACGGTCCGTCTTCAACTGCAATTTTTGGACAACCTCCTCGGACACTACATTCTCACAACTGCCGCTGTCAATGATCATTTTGCAGACTTTATCTGCAACTGTGCAGGTCGTGTGGAAAATATTGGTTCTCAACCAATCGTCCCCTGAATCGCCCTTGGGAGTAAGTAGACTCTTGCGAATGACCAGAGTCTCATGACCATCTCCATTCAGCACATCATCAGTCTCATCATCGTCATACACGAGTTCGCCAATCTCCTCAGTCTCGTTTTCCGCGTTTTCCTCAATCAACAAATTTTTGCCCTTTTGACTAGCAGGCTTCCTGCAATCAGTCGTCCTATGCCCTTGTTCACCACAATGAAAACATCTAATAGTAGGGTTAGAATTACCCTGCGGTGGCTGTTGAGCAGGACGGAAATCCTGAGGATGAACTGGTCGACTGTTGTGATCGTTCCTGATCACTGGTCTCCTGTTTTGCTGTTTTTCAACAGCAAGTGCACGCTGGTAAGCTTCCGAAACACTCCACAGTGAATGAAGGCTGAGGACATCTTGTAAGGGCTGGCGTAAACCACCCAAATACCGCGCCACCATTTGCTCCTCCGTCTCAGATAAATCGTTCCAGGCGACCAATTGGTAAAACTCCTCCGTGTAATCATCGACTGATCGTGCGCCCTGCCTCAACGCATGAAGTCGTTGAAACAAGGTTTGTGTATAGCCGAAGGGAAGGTAGTGACCCTTCATCTTCTTCTTCATCTTCTCCCAATCAATGATCTTGGCCTTGCCTTGTCTTTCTCGTGAACGTCGCAACTGTTCCCACCACGCAGATGCTCTGCCCTTGAGTTTGATGGCGATCAGTTTCACTTTCACACGATCAGGAACTTATATTTTAAAAATACGCTCTACTTCATTAATCCAATCCACGAATCCCTCGGCATGTAACGTACCAGAAAACTCAGGGAGATCGACTCGAAAACCGAGGTCTCCATGACCATGACGCTCTTCTCAACCACGGTGTTCCCGGAATAGAGCACGATTGTGATATGGGTTTTCGAAAGCGGAATTGGTATCGTGATCAGAGGCCTCACGATCCTCGAAATCCTGCGCCGCCAGGCGCTGGGTTAATTCTGCGACTTGCCTCTGTAAATCCGCAATCATCACATCCTGAACGTTGCGATCACGGCGTTGGGCTTCCTCATTCAGAACCTGCTCACAACGACCACGACCACGACCTCCCGCCACTGAAACTGGTGAAATTTCTCAGGAAGATGTTGAAGCTCTGATACCAACTGACCCCATACAGAATAGTGATTATCCTGCAAGCGATCCAACAGATGATTCACAAGAGAAAATTCGCCCAAAAAAATCCAGAGAAAAAAGTCTCTAGAGTTTAATAAAATATTATAAAATCAAACAATATCAAAATCAGTCCACAAGCCGGACTGTTATAGCCAAAAATCGTCTTTATTCGAATTTTGCCAAAAATAGAAAAATCCCGAAAATCACTATAAATTGAAATTCGAAATAAAATAAGCAATCTCCAAAAAAATCCGGCCTAAATCGGATTTAAATTGACTTCCTAATTGACAATCGAAATATTACCATAAATAGTAAAAAATATCTAATTCTAGTGATTCGGAGGGGAAAACGGCAGAATTTGAGGTTGAAAAAAGGCCACATGTAGCTCAATGTGGAGAGCGTGCGCGTCGAAAAGAGCTTTCCGGGTTGGGGTCTTATGCGCGATTCTGACACCTGTAGTCAAAGTTATGGCCAAAAGACTGAAACATACTCAAAACGACCCCAATGAGGAACATGTCACAATCAATTCCCGCCTTTGAGCTGATCTGCCAATTCATGGTATCTCAGCGCCATCAAGATGCAATCTGACAGCTCAGCATCATCTGTCTCGGATCTCTGCATCAGTCACCCCGGGTTTTAAAATACATTTATCAGAAAACTCTTCTCTAGGGTTTCCACCTTAACCTGCTGTTAAAAAAACTATTAAAATGGAATCAATTCATTAAGCCATTAATTACTGCATGTACTAATACGTTTTTACAACGTTGAAAAAGGTACAGTATTGACTTGAGCACAGAAGGAAAAACAGTAGATAGAAAAGTAAAAAAAAGAGAGAAAAATATTACCATAGGCAATGGATTTCGATTGTTTGAAGTTTGTGCAGATGCTATATCTTGATTCAGTCTTCCTACTTTATGTTTTAGCTCTGGATGTACTTTGATGCATCCACTATAATTGATGCTTTGTTCATCTGCCATACATTTTCAAGTCATTTCATCCATGTATAGTTTGCATCAACTGACAAATATAAATAAGCATATATGATTGTCTAACAGATATTCCCCAGAAATCCAGTTAACACAAAGAATTATTAAAACTAATAGTAGATAAATATATAGCCTACATATATAGGCTAGCAGAATTCAAAGAAGAAACAAAGAGTGAATATGATGGATAATTAAAATGAAAGGCAATATGGAGGGAATTTTACAGCATGAGAATTAGTAATGGAACGAAGAAGATGCAGTTTCTCATGCAGTCCTGCTCTCTTGTGCTCCCTGGAAACCATTGATCTTTCTTCTACATGTATGCGTCAGTTTCTTTCACTACAATATATATAATATATAGATTGTATTGGCTTGCCCAGATTGCCTTTTTGTTAACATATTTTTCAATAATATTATTCTTATATTTCACGTAATAATCCTAACATTGTGGGAATAATAAACCTTAGTTTTGGCATTCTACTAATAGGTTACACCTTAACCACTTGGATTTACTTTCTGCAATACTAAAGCTATATATTTGATAAAAACTGAGTTGATGACTTCAGTAAAACGTAGGGAATGAATCCCCCAATATGCATATACTTTTTTCTTAAAGAATGTGCATGTTTGTTGAATTTTGTTTACGTAGCAATTTGATCATGTTGGTCGTTGATGGTTTACATTTTTTAATTTGGACGAAGAATCACACTCGATAAAAAATAATTGTTGATTGGTATTTTTTTTTAGAGATGGTTGATCATGAAGAATGAGATGAGGTGTGAATTGCATAAGGTTCCAATCCCCTTATCAGTCTTAGATAGAAGTATTTATAATGACTCTAATTAATAGTACCGAGCATAGGATAATCATGACTAGTTATAGGTAGATAAATCTAATAGTTTTATTCTAGTAAATTACTATCTTCTACTTGACGGGTAATCATACTCTTTTTCTTAGAAGTCAGAGATCCTTTAGTAACTCTGACAAACAGAGAATTGGAATTTTATGGCTTGTGTTAAAATAATTGTAAGGAGGAAAATTAAAAGGTATTTGGGGAAGCAAGAAAGGGGGAATCATGAGCTCGTGATGGAGAACACCGGGGGGGGGGGGGAACATCGAAAGAAGTGAAGGAGAAGCAACAAAAAGGAAACAAGGATACGTTTAATTTGGTTGTGATATTTGGAATGCCTCCAAAGACTCCTCACGGGCTATTTTTAGATTTCACTTTTGTCTCCGCATGATAAATTTAAGGGTAAACTATAAATTTAGTACCTAAACTATTAATTTTGATCCGTTTTAGTACCTAAATTTTCAATTTTTTTAAAATCATACATAAAATTTAGTTTTTGTTTCATTTTAATTCCCGCCGTTAAGTTTTGAAAAAAATTAAAGTCTAGTACAAAAACACGTATAGTACCTAAATCATACTTAAGTTTTGAAAAATATTAAAAATTTAGGTATTAAAACGAATCAAAACTGATAGTTTAAGTATTAAAAGCGTTAAGTTATTAACTACAGGCTATTGAAATGAAACAAAAGTAAACTTTAAGTATAATTTTGAAAAAAATAAAAATTTAAATATTAAAATGGATTAAAAATGATAGTTTAGGTACAAAATGTATAATTTATCCTAAGTTCAAATATAACTATGAAAACAAATAATTAAAATATGTTTATATATATTATTCTCCATCTCCCAACACCAGCTAGACGTCACCTCTTCCATCGTCTTTTAATTCTGTACACACGTGCCTTTCTCTACCTTCATATTTATCCTCACCTTATGGGTTTTTTAATTATGTCATCCAAAATGTTAGCTTAATTTATATAAATATTTCTTATTTATTAACTACGTACATATTTTATAGATATAATTTTTTTAAACTTAAATCTTTAATGAGAACAATAATTCCTTAAATTATTATTAGCTAAATGGGTTTATATTCCCTCCATAATTTATATACGAAACTCTTGTATGCAAGTAATCAATAATTGATGGCAATTCAAGAACACATATCTGAAGGTGTCACGAGATGTTATATATATTACATAAAATGGGATAATTTGTTGATTGTCGATATGGCTAATCGAGTTGAATTCATCATTGTCTGCATTACAGAGCAGGGACAAATGATGCATGTACTCGTTTATTCACATGTGTGTCCTCCCCCCCCCCCTTCATTTTCATTACAACAAAACTGTATTATCCTTGTATATACTCTGTCTCTTTCTCCTCCCCTCCACCAGTCCTTGCTCCTATTATCAGTTTTTAGAATATTCTCCATTTTCTTTTTTAACCAACTCCATGCATGTGAGACACTGATACACAGGCTTCAAAAGAATTGTTGTTGGATCTTGAAATCCCGAGTTTGAGACTATGAATACTAGGGGTTTGAACGTTTATTGTCAAATAATTAAGAGTTATCTTTGAACATATACTACTTTATACTTATCTCATATTAATAAAAAAAAAACAGTTTGACTGATGGGGTGTTTAGTTGCAAAAATGCTGGAGATTGAGAATATTATTTTTTTTGGATTTCATGTCACACCCCAATATGAGTTTAGATTTTTTCAGTTTAAAATATGTAAAATGTTATAAGGTTTGATTGACAAATAATTATTTTATCATATTATTATTTTATTAAGCATATTAAGGGCCACTCAATAATAGATATCTTTTATAGTAATGGGCAATTTATTTTAAAAGAAAAACGTGAATGAGGATAATAGAGTAGGTAGAAGTGGATAAATTGGATGAGATGGTATTAAATTAATGATAATGGCAATCTCTGGAATCCTTTTCTTCTAGCTTTCACTTTCGGCTAGAATCCAACCGCCGCAGACATCCTGTTCTTCATCGCCTTGCCTACGACTCCTTGCCATCTCAGTATCTCACATCGCTTTCTAACTCAAAAATGGCTTCTCTCAGCTACACTCTCAAAGCCCATCTTCTTTCAACCTCAAAACGTAAACTCCAAACCCGAAAATACCCCACCAAGGTTCGCATGTATCTTCAAGAGTCTGGCCATCCATCACCGTTGTAGGTGTCACTGGCGTCGTTGGCCAAGAATTTCTTTCCGTACTCTTCGACCCTGACTTCCCTTACCATTTCCTCAAGCTCCTCGCCTCCAAACGCTCCGCTGGTAAGTTTGTTTCCTTCCAAGACCGCACCTTTACCGTCCAGGAACCACCGCCAACAGCGTAATCACCACCGTTTGACATTTGTTCTCAAAAATAATAAAGACCCGAGGTTGTCTTTCTTCTCTTCTCAAGTATCACTCAGGAGAAACCCATGTACGAAGCAAAGTCGATGGCATGCGAGACAGCCATGGCTTCTGCTCCAAAAATTCGAATGGAGACAAGCGAACCGGAGGGGAACACGACATTTCATATAGCTACAAGTAAATCTCGCCTGTAATAATAGAGAAAGTGCGCATCAAGCTATAGCTACCAAGGAAAGAAATGAAGAATAGCAAATCACGTGGTTGGGGGTTGTTATTAAAGTAAGAAGGTGAAATTACAAGGTAAGCCATCCAAGATGTTAAAAGCTCAACATTGTCTCTTAGCTTTCATATTGTTATGATTATGGCATAATGGTTTATTAAGATCGATTTAGTCCCTAATTTTAGCAATTAAAAATTATATTAACTCCTAAAGTTTTTAGTTTTAACAATTTGGTCCCAAAATTATTAGTTAAATTCTAATAAGTTATTTTTATAGCGAGGAAATTATTTGAAGTCGTATTTGTATGATAGATTGTCCGTGTTCGTTAGAAAAAGATTGGAAGCTAGAAATCAAGTTGGTGAGCTGGAATTCAAGAGTAATATTTTGGGTTTTGTTGACGTCCTGAGTCCAATTCCGAAGTCTATTTCCCCAAATTCAAAATCAGTAAGTTGTTTTTCACCGATTAATCACCTGATTCGATCCGTTTTTCGGAATTAAGCTCTATTTTTTATGAAATTTCTGTTGATATATATCCGAGGAATTATTGGAAGATGATTTCAAGATCGAGGGAGTTTGAATGGAATTTTATGGTCGATCAGTATGGCACGAAAATTGAAGTAATACTTTACTACCTCTTTATGCTTTATGGAACATGTTGATATTGGTAAATGTATGAATAAAAAAAAATGTTTGGTCTCATTTGTGTAGTTAGTTAATTTCTACACTCGATCTGAATACAATAAAAATGCGATAACTGAATATGGTTCATATGATTAATATAAGAAATTGGAGGACAGTTGGAATTAAACTACAAGCTTTGTGATTAAGTGATAAATGAATCAGTCTGATTATGTAAATTATAATTTATTTCATCAAAGGTACTTGGATTGGAAATTATTAGAATACTCCAATAGGATAAAATTACGAAAATGCCCTTATGTTGAAAGATGTTTGTGCAAGATGCTAGAAGTTGTCAAGGGAATCATTTCAAGATCAAAGAATGTTCGGGAAGGAAATTTACCATAGGATCTCTAAATCATAATTATTTTCGTTAAGAGTTAATACCGAGATTATTTGGTTACAAAATTACGAAAATTCCCTTGAGAGGTAAAAATAGTCTGAGTAGACCTTGAATGAGAATGTACCCTGATATTTCGTACCTAACCCGATAAATTAAGGATTTAATTGCTAGATTCTATCTTTGTACAGAAAATTCCGGATAACTTGTTTGTAATTTCTGAGAATGTTATTGACTTTGTACAGAAAATTCCTGATAACTTGTTTGTAATTTCTGAGAAGGTTATTGACCTGAAAATCTCCGAGTTAAGAATAAATTATCGATGGTGCTCTTTTTTCAGAATTGTTCGAAAGAACTGGAAAAGATGATACGGTTGAATTAAATAATAAGATCGAACGGAAGGAACTGGTTAAAATACGTGGGATCTGTAAAATGACCAAAATACCTTGTAATGGAAATGACTCAAGAATATCACCAAGTTCAAGAATGAATAGATATCCTTCAAGCTTTGAAATGAATGGAAAAACATTGAGCACCAAAATGACCAAAATGCCCTTATGGTCTAGATTAAGTAAATGTCTTGGATTAATTAAGGAATCCAAATAAATATAGATATGTTACCGCTCTTAAAAGTTATGGATAACATATTAAGTCGAGCAACCAATGCTAGTGTTATATCAGTAACTGAACGACATAGAAGTTACTTGAATGCGTGTTCGTCTTCTCAAGTTTGGATCGATGATAATTCTGTAAGTGCTTAGCTCAGCTCAACTCTACAGCGCATTCGATATTAAGAAGTGGATATTCATGAGACAAATCAACCACAAATATCAGATTGACTAATTAAACTGAAAG